CTCTGCCGCGCGCCCTCTCTGCGGGGGCCGGGAGCGCGCCCCCAGCCCCGGCCACCCTGTCCATTCCTTGAGGTGGGGCTCGCCGTGCGGGCTTTTTCCAGCCCCATCCCTCGGGCTCTGCCTTTCTTCCCTCCCCCAGAGCAGGCCTTAGTCTGGGCCCTGACCCCCCAGGAGGCCGCCCCCCGAACGCAGGGCCTCTTTGGGGGGTTCTCACCGCCTGAGCCCGGGACCTCCAGCTGTGTTCAGCAGCTCCCTGGAGGCCCAGTCCTGCTCTAGCCCCAGGAAATTGTCCCCTGGTCCTGCAGGACACCATTGGCAGATCTTGGCCCCGGCGCACCCCCGCCCTGAAGTCCAGGACAGAGGAGGCCCCCTTAAGTGCTCTGGAAGAGGGGTGTCTTTCCTTGAAAGGATAGAGGGCAGAAAGGCTTCGGCATGGGGTGGGCTGAGGTGAGGACAGGGCAGCACCGGCCGCAGACCAGTGGAAGGGAGACTGGCTGGCCCTGTGGACTTGGCTAAGCGGCTTCGTGTCTCGGGGTCCCGGTTTCCTCATCCGCAAACTCAGAGGTTTGGCCCATCTCGTGGAAATGGAGACACGGAAGGTGTGGGAAGGCGGCTGCAGTGGGCAGCGAGGGCAGCTGGGGGTCTCCCTGGGGGCATGGTCAGCCCTGAGGGGCAGGGAGAGCAGTGTCCTCCTGGCCAGGGCCAGAGAAGGCTAGACCCTCTGGGCATGCCAGCGGGGCTCAACGGCTGCCGGGCAGGAGGTTGGCCCCGAGGTCAAGTCAGGCTGCTGCAGAGCGGGGCCTTCCCGGGCCGAGCCAAGCTGCTGGGGCGAGCCTGCCCGCTCCCAGGCTCTTGCCCTTGGGAGTCATGGGGAGCAGGCCCTGTGCCCCCCACCCCGCCACCACCTGACTCCGTGTCCTCCCAAGGGCTGGGGCGAGTCTGCACCCCCCACTCCCCGTGTGCCCCTGTCCTGGCCACTCAGCGTGGCCTGGCCCCTCTCTGGTTTTAGGTTCTTACCCCAGAGTCCAGGAAATAAGGCTGTGCTGTCCGGTGCTAGGGGCCCGGGGGCCACAGAGGCCTCTGAGGCTGTGTGAGGAATGGCAGCCCCCTCCCGCTGGGGGGCAAGGGCAGGGAAGAGGAGCAGGCGAGGAAAATGGCACAGGGCAAGTCTTCTTCCTCTGGGCGGACCCCAGTGCTGAAACTCCAGGTAGCTCTTGGGGGGCTGACTAGGCCCTGTTGGGGGCCCCCGCCCAGGAGCAACCCTGGGGACTTCCCCTGCAGTGCTCCTGGCTCCCACCCTCTCTCCCATACTCCCAAGTGGCCTGGCCTTGGGGCCCTGGCTCCGCCTCCGTGACCTGAGAGGCCCCCCCCATCTCCATCACAAATATTTACCTAGCATGGTCTAGGCAGCAGAGGCCAGCGGGCAGGTGAGCAGCCACAGCTGTGTCTGAGATGAGGGGCGACACCTGCCGCGGTGGGCGTGGTGGGCGTGGGACGGGCGTGCAGACACCTCTAAATGTGTGTGGGGGGGCTAAAAATAAACAAATTACGGGACTCCTCTGCCAGCTGCTGGCCTGGGGCTCCCAGGGACGGGGAGCAGAGGTGTGAGAGCCAGGGGCCCAGGCGGTCACCCCTCCCCGCTCCCTGAACCCCGCCGTGCCCAGGTCACAGGTTACCGCCAGGACCCCGAAGTCAGGCTTTCTCGGAACACCTCCCTGCCCAGGGGCAGAGTGCCCGCCCGCCCGGAATAGCCTGGAACCTCTAAAAGCTTTGACCACAGCTCTCTGCAAGCCCTTTGAAGGCTTCCTTCACACTTGCTTTGCATATTCTGCTCAGATCTGAATCAGACTGGCAGGAATTACCCCTCTGGTACAGTCTCAGAGGCTGCCTGGCGTCAGTGCCAGGGCTGTGACGCGGAGCGTGGGGCATGGAGGGGCAGAGCTGCCTTCCTCTGTCGGGTGCACCGCGTGGGCGGAGGTGAAAGAGAAAGCAAGGTGGGGAGGGCCCAAGTCTCAGCGCTGTCAAGCTGCGGCAGCCACTGCAGCACAAGTTCGGTCCGGGCCAGGGAGTGGCCCACAGTGTCCCCTCAGCAGGGGATTTCAGTCCATCCGCCTGTTCTGTTCCCATTCTGTCTCTGGGAAATCTTTTCACCTCCCACTTCTTGTTTGCATAAATAAATACATCCTTAAAAATTATACAAAGGCTCAAGTCATGTTTTTCATTAAAAAATAGTGCTCTTTATTATAAATTACTGAAATGTTTCTTTTCTGAATATAAATATAAATATGTGCAAAGTATGACTTGACTGGTATTTTGTTGAGTTCTTCAAGCATCTCCTAACAGCCTCGAAGGCCTGGGTGGGGGGAGGGCGGGCTGGAGGTGGGATCTTTATAAAAGACAGAGTGATTGAGGCAGATTGTAAACATTATTTAAAAACAAACCAAAAAAAAAGAAAAAAGAAAACACCACCCCACACACAGCTGCCGTCCATCCAGCCCAATACCTGACACAAGAAACGGTTTGTTTCATTCTCCCCAAAAAAGAACAGTTCCAGGTAATTCCATTGCTGCTACATTCCTGCAAGTTCACTGACGGTGGCAGGGTTGGGGGCTGGGGTGGCAGGGCCCGGCCTCTGGGTGACTTCCTGCCTGAGCCCCCAGGCCTGGGCTGAGGTGGGGGGCTCTGCAGGGCCTGCGGGGGGTGCGGGGGGGGGGCTGTGGGCCTGCTGCCCTGCTCTGGGGACCCAGCACCGGCCCCAGGCTGAAGGCTCCCAGTCCTGGAGGCCCGGCCCGCCCCCGCCCGCCAGTGGCTCGCTGCCGGCCCTCCCTGAACCCGCAGCTGCCCGTCGGCTGCGTGTGTGGCTCCTGGTGTGCCAGTCCCTATCCATGGGGCAGGGACGTTTAAGGCAAATCTCCTAGCCAGACCTAGTCAGGAGGCACAGAGAGGGCCCCCAGCTCTTCCGTAGGACCCAGCCGGGGTCCAAGAGGGCCGTCTCCTCCCCCACTGCCCACACCACACCCCCCCCCCGCAGCAGGAGGTGTGACCCAGCGAGAAAGAACAGCTGACCTGCTGACCTGCCTTATCACCTCCTTCCCAAATGCCACTTCCCCTTAAAACAGGGGTGGGCCCTGGGCTCCCAGGCACCAAATACTCTAGGACCCCAAATTCCTAGTGGTGGTCCCAAAGTGGGGGGAGAGGGGAGCAAAGTGGTCCCCTTCAGTGCGCCCCTTGTCCTTCCAGCACAGGGGAAGGGCACGTGTTGCCGGCTCACCGGGCTGGGGGCTGCAGGGGGCAGCTGGGGGGACAGAGAACGGCCATCTCTTCTGCAGCCACAGTCCACCCCTCCCAGGCCCGGAGACCTGCTCAGGCTTAAAGCTGCGTTTAAACCAGATCAAAGAGCAAACAGGTTCCGCGGCCAGTGGGCAGTTCTCCCCAGTCCAGCACTCCGGGCCGACCCCGCTGGGAAGCCGAGGGGGTGGAGGAAGCAGAAGCAGTGTCCACCAGTCTGCGGTGGCCACCGCGGCTCGGCCCTCCGGCCACGCTGGAGTAGGGGCGCTCCGGCTGCGTGGGTCCCCTTCCCTCAAACACACTCCAGGCCCCCTGCCGCTGCGGGGGGAGGGGCCGTCGTCGTGGCTCCGGAGGACTCTTGTGCTGCGCCTGTGCCTTGGGGGAGAGGAGCCCGGCCCCTCTCGCCCACCGGCCTCCGCTCCCTAAAGCGGGGCATCGTACTGGTCCAGGAACTCCCGGATGGGGCCGGGCAGCTGGGTGACTTTCTCATAGGAGTCCAGGTGGCCGTTGACGGTCTTCCGACAGAGATGCTGGAGCGTGGCCACGTTGGAGGACAGGGGCCGGCTCAAGACCAGGGGGATCTTCTCGCCGCCCGAGTAGATGTAATAGGCTCTCCTGGGCGGGCTCCCGGGGGGCGGCTGGGAGGGCGGCAGCTCAGGCACCTCGGGGGAGGATTCGGAGGCCGGCGAGGGGCAGGAGGGGGCCCCCGGGGGCGGCATGTAGTGCTGCACCAGCTTGAGCACGCAGTCGAAGCGGGGCACGGGCTGCGTGCTCCGGGGGTCGCTCTGCAGCGAGAAGCTGCCCCCCTCGCACTGGATGCGCAGGTTTTTGGTCCCCGACTGGGTCTTGACGCTGAGCGTGAAGAAGTGGCGCCGGTCCGAGCTGTCGCGGATGAGGAAGGTGCCGGCCGGCTCGGCGCTGAGCAGCAGGTTGGCCTCGCCGCCGGTCACCGCGCTCCAGTAGAAGCCGCTCTCCTGCAGCTTGCGCACTGCGTTCACCACCAGCTGGTACTCGCTCTTGGAGCTGAAGGTCTTGAGGCGCAGGCTGGTGTCCAGAGGGCGGCTCATCCCGGCGGCGGGAAACTTGCTGTGGGTGACCATGGCGCACGGAGCCAGCGTGGGTCTGCGCGGCGCCGGCTGCAGCTGCTCGGCGGCCCCCGCACAGCGGCCGCTACCGC